TAAAAACCGTTCAGGTACAAAACGATGTTTTCCATTTGTTTCAACATAAAAAGCTACTATTCGTGCATTCCAAAATGAATAAAAAACATGATAACAGTTACAAGGTTAGTGGCGGTGGATACTGAAACGTCAAAAATTGACTTTATTTGTTATTTGCAGAGTTCAACTACATTTAAATGTCTACAACAAACACTTATCATAACATCAGACTGTTTCTTGTAGCAAGATACATTGATGATTGGATGCTGGATAGATCATATGACTGGAGTTACCCAATTTTTAACTCCTCGCTGTATTCTGCGATGAGGTAAATCTCCAACGCTCAAAAACCTAAATATTTTTGAGTCGCAGCCACATACAATTTTAATTCATTTAACAACATGAATGTCATGTATTGCAAGGGACACCTTGCCACTACATTCGAATTAGTAATATTTTCAGTCCCATTATAAATATTTTAAGTAATCATATCCATTTGCGGAGATTAAAATTTTTCACAGTATATATTACATAATTAATTATAAGACTTCAGTATCGAGTGAGAAAGTGTTTAAATAAAAAGTCATTAAATTTAAAAGCGAGACAATAAAACTTATGAGTAGATAGTGTAAACAAATCCTGAACAATTGCACGACGTTCTTAATTATTCTTGTGAACAGATTTCGTTTTCCAGTGACCTAATGACTTTGTGCACCAGAAGAGGAAGTTCAGGAAAACGTTGCAGGAAATACTTTTTATAATTGCCTTGCTTCACATGTTGTGATAGATGCGGACGAGGCTTATTTTGCCAATGTTGGTCAACGTTTCGCATAAATCTTAAGCATCCTGCCCATGTAGACTCGTACTTTAGAGTTCTTATACTGTCGTTTACTTCAAAGTTGATCAAATCTTTGACGACTTCATCATCGATACGCTTCATCCATTCTGTGGAGCCATGCAACTGCTTATGAACATCTGGTGGGAGAATTTTGACTGTGTGAATGTTTCACCTCCAGTTGGTTCCCCATATCACACAGCATGCTAAATTTCTCTTCATCTGATTGTAGATAAGGGTGTTTTAACGCCTCATTGGCAGATGGCATGTCTTCAGGTTTTAGCACTGCATAGCATCCACGATAAAAGGTCTTTAAACGTGGCATCCCAGTTTCTGTTCAAGCCAGCTGGGTTTCCTTTCAAATGTTGTCCAGTCTATGCTGTTCAATTCCAAGGATATTTCCCCTTTGTTGCAACATGGCGCTACCATTCGGCATTCTATTTTTCAAAAAAATTGTCATAAACAGTCAGTGTGGTGGATACTAAAACCTTAAAGATTAAATTTATTTACGTTGCAG